TGGTATCTAGAAAATAATTGAATTATCACTAATTTTCAGTCAGGTTTTCGTAAACAGCAAAGTACAAACGATCATCTTGTACGACTTGAGACTTTAATCAGAGAAGCCTTTGTAAATAAACAGCATCTGGTATCAATTTTCTTTGATCTTGAGAAGGCTTACGATACTACTTGGAAATATGGTATCCTAAAAGATCTAAAAGATGCTGGACTTAATGGCAGACTTCCTCTTTTCATTTCTGGATTTTTAAACGATAGTTACTTTACAGTAAGACTTGGTTCAACTTTTTCTCAGGACCTACAACAAGAACAAGGTGTTCCTCAAGGGAGCATACTTTCTGTTACACTTTTTGGCCTTAAAATAAACAATATTGCTAGCGCTCTTACACCAGGCATAGACTGTTCTCTATATGTAGACGATTTTCTTATCTGCTATCGATCGAAAAATATGAGAATAATTGAAAAGCAACTTCAACAAAATTTAGATAAAATTCAGAAGTGGGCAATAGAAAATGGTGTTAAATTTTCAAAGTCAAAACCTCAATGAGTTCATTTTTGTCGATTGCGGAAACAGCATAATGACCCTGAACTTTACATATCTGGTTCTAAAATTCCAGTATTTGATGAAGCTAAGTTCTTAGGAATAATATTTGCTAAAAAACTTTCTTTTATACCACATATTAAACATTTGAAAACTAAATGCCTAAAAGCTTTAAATTACTTAAGGTTTTATCAAGTACAAACTGGGGATCAAATGATTCAACATGACTGAAATTATACAGAAGTCTTATCCGATCAAAATTAGATTATGGTTCTGTAGTATATGGGTCTGCAAGAAAATCATATCTTCAAATGCTAGATACCATACATCACCAGGTTTTACGTTTAGCTTTAGGTGTTTTTTGCACTTCACCTGTTGAAAGTCTATATGCTGAAGCTGGGGAATCATCGCTTCATCTTCGTCGAACAAAGCTATCACTTCAATATGCAACTAGAATTTCATCTAATAGCAAAAATCCAGCAAAAAAAAATTATTTTCAAGCCAAGTTATCCTGAAAAATGTGTTAACAAACCAAAAGAGATTAAACCATTAGACCTTCGTTTAAAAGATGATTTAGATAAACTTAATATTAACCCAGACAGTATCCTTCAAAATGACGATGAGGATGTTCCACCTTGGACTTATAATTCCCCGAAAATAAATATTAACCTTTCAAATATGAAAAAATTATAAAATTCACCTGAATATTTCAAAGAGAAGTTTCTAGCAATTAAGGAAGAACATGAAAGTTTTATACATATTTATACGGACGTGTCAAAAGAAGGTTGCAAAGTAGGTTCGGCTGTGTTTGAAAATAATTTTACATCTAGTATGAGGTTACCAGATAATGCATCATTTTTTACTGCTGAAGCAAAAGCTATCGATTTAGCATTGTCATACATAAGCACACAGCATACCCACGATAAATTTGTGATATTTTCTGTACTCGCTTTCTGTTTTAATATCCATTAAAAAAAAAAAAATTGACAATATCATGATAAAGAACTTCTTTTACGATTTTCATGATATACTAAAAACAAAAATATGTTAAATTATATTGGATTCCAAGTCATGTAGGTATACGAGAAAATGAAAAAGTAGATGCTTTAGCTAAAAAATCATTAAATTTTCAAAAAACTGACATATTGTTACCTGCTTGTGATTTTAGACCAGCTATAAATAAACTCGTATCATCTGAATGGAAAGCAAATTGGGACAATGCCGTTTTTAATAAACTTCACAATATAAACCCATCCCTTGATGTCTAACCATCTCTATCTCTGTCAAACCGCCGTGATCAAACAGTTCTCCTTCGATGCCGAATTGGACACACTAAAATTACCCACTCTTATCTCCTCACAAATGACAATGCCCCTTTCTGTGTAGGTTGTGATGACAATTTTACTGTCAAGCATTTTCTTCTTGAATGTCATGATTTTGAACAGACCCGTAATAGATTTTATTCTGTAAATTCACTCAAAGAACTCTTTAATACACTTCCATCAAAAAACATAATTGATTATTTGAAAGAGATAAACTTGTCTTCTAGGATCTAATTGGCTCATTTCTATTGTCATTTATAAAGTTTTACATAACATTTAAAGCCTATTATAGCATTCGGCACGATATGGACAGTTATGTGTTGACGTGCCTTAAAAATCCAAACAAACAAACAAACAAATCATATATTTTTATATTGCATATCTTTTCTCTATTGTGGATCACGTAGACTTGTAGAAATTAAGCTTTACGGTTTATCATATAATGTTTACTGTTTCAAAACCGGAAGAGGAAGTTCTTTTTGATATTATAGTTATTGTTAGATTGCATCATTTTTTTATATAGTTACGATAATTTGTTTTCTTCCGAATATTTCTAGTCTTTTTTACCTTAACCTTGTTCATTTTTTTATTATTTGCCTACATTACATTACATGATGAATAGTTAACGCAAACACGACTCCTTATTTAGCCATTATACCACAAATAATATTAGTTTGTATTTTCTTGTTTGTTTTTCATTTCAGTTACTAATCCGTGTTTAAGCAGCCCTTGTGGAAAAAACAGATGTGTAGAGAGGTCAAATGGTTTTGAATGCCAATGTAATTCTGGTTTTACTGGCAATCTTTGCCAAACTCCGGTTGACCACTGTGATCCAAATCCTTGTGAAAACAGAGGCTCTTGTCAAAACAATGCGAACAACTTTACATGTATTTGCACTGAACTTTTTCAAGGAGAAGTCTGCGATGAAGGTAATTTTGAAAGTTATGCTTTTTTAAAGAAACGTATATGCCTTTAGCCAATTCTTTAGCATGTCAGTTTTTCTAAAGAAATGATAACTAAACCAAGCGGATTCAAATTGTTATTTGAATTAACATGTCCCTATTTTGAAAATAATATCATTTTTTGCAACCATTTTTTTATATGTTTTAGCAACTGTTTTTACATCATACTGGACGACATGGTCTCGTTGCACAGTTACCTGTGGTGGCGGTGTTTCTATCAGGTCACGTGTCTGTCCACACAAAAACAGTTGTAATGAGCAAACAGAGTCAAGGCTGTGCAATAACGCTCACTGTGTAGGTAAGACATTTGAATTATATCCATGTATGTCAAAATTAAAAGATGATTTTTCAAATGAAAGAATTGGAAAATTTATGGCTAGCATATAGTAATGGCTATTTTTTTGGACGAAACCCGTCTGAGAACTTTTTAAATTCTGATAAAATTTACTTGGAAAATCATAAATAGAAACCGATTGGCCATTCTAAAATTAGTATAATAATTTAAAAGGATCTTTCTGAACGTATGCACGTCTAAATTGTTAATTAAGCTAATCAAAAGGAGTTGTAGAATTTTCTCATTACTTTATCCGGATTTTTTGAAATCTGTTGACCGTTTTGGCTTTTCTACTATTTTAAAAGATTTCATTATTTCTCCAGTGAATACCTTATTCAATTCAAGAAACTGTTTTTATGTATTCATAAATTCCGTTGTGAATACCTCATTTTACATAAAACTTAACTGAGTTATAAATGTTATTCAATATTTTTAGTCCAAATTAACGAGAATATCAATATTGTTCACAATCCCGGAAACATCGAAATATAAATGTACACCAGATAAAAAAAATCTCAATCTTTCCATTTACTATTAGAAGATAATGCCCAGCGTTTGTTGTATTATATGGTCATTGTTGTGTTTAATTTATATAAAATTTATAATTCCCATATCATATTGCATATCAATAAATCATATATTAATGTGTACATGAATACGTCAATGTAAAGTACAATTACCGAAACATTTTTAAACATATACTGCAGTGTTTCCTCTATCTAATTATTCCATGATATGACAAAAATCCGAAAAAACCAATGCAAAAGAAAACAGTTTTAACCTCGTCTAATTATCTTTTTACGTTGAAAGTTGATTCCTGTCAGTCTTCGCCATGTGGTACTAATCTTTGTATATCAAGTGAAGATGGGTTTCAGTGTACTTGTAATGCTGGTTTTACCGGTATAAGATGCGATACTCCAATAGATTTTTGTGACGAAAATAGTTGTGAGCACGGACAATGTAGCAATAAAGCAACCGGATATGAATGTTTATGTGATGAAGGATATAGTGGACATCTCTGTGATGTTATAGAAGGTTTGATTAATGTATTGTATCGTTGTCATTACGAAAACATAGAAAATTTATAAAAAAAAAAACTTTTTCATTCTAAGTTATTCTACAACTAACAACAGTTTTAAATGATTAAAATTCAGTTATGTTTGAATGAAATTAACAAATACAATTTATACAAGTCTTCTGATTTCATTTCATTTTTAAAAGATTCTTTGCCCTACATGGATAGCCACATTTCATTGCCATCCTGGAAACAATCAATAGAGTGAATACATTGCTGGAATAGATTTCTTAGAGTATTTACAATCTTTTGAATATTTCTTGAATACGATTTAACGGATGTTTCTGTTTTATCAGAAACTGCTGGTTGGGGTTTATGGACTGAATGGAATGCTTGTAGTTCTACATGTGGTTTAGGAAAAAGACAAAGAAACAGACTGTGTGATAATCCACCTCCTTTACCAGGTGGTAACACATGTGACGGAGATGAAGAAGAAACAGAAGCATGTTCTACAGACTGTTATGGTATTGTTCTTAAACTTTTAATTAATATACAAGCTCTTGTCTCATGTTTGGTAAAAGTGCCAGTTACAAAAAGTGTGTACTTTCAAACTACTTAAGCTTAAGCTGATAGTTATCTTTAAGCATAATATAAATCATATATGGTATAATGTTTCTAAAATCGATTTGCAAGACATCAAATTCTTCAAAGAATATATTGTTTGCCTGTTTTAGATGCATGCTCATCTAATCGTTGTGGAGACATACATAGATGTATATCTGATGGAACTGGGTATAAATGCCAATGTAAAGACGGATACACAGGTGTAGATTGCTCATTAGCACCAGATTTTTGTCAACCAAACCCTTGTGAAAACTATGGTAAATGTGTAAGCTCGTCCGACGGTTTTATCTGTACGTGTGTTGATGGCTTCAGTGGATCTACATGTGAGGTCTTACCAGGTGTGTAAACACTTTATTCAGTCAGTATGCAACAATACTTCTTTTGGTAGATATCATATATTCATTTTGCAAAAATAATTCTTTATAGCTTTGTATAAATTTAATATAGTAAGTACTTTAAACTGTTATCCTGTATGGCATAATTGTTACAATCTGATGAGTATTTATTTTTTATGTGCATTGTTTTGTTTGGATTTACGTTGAACCATCACTATCATATGCCAATTTTCTAGCTTTGCTGATGTATGAAGGTGTCCCTTTGTGCATTGCAATATTTCAGGTGGGAATGGCCACCTGAATAGAGCCATCTGTGTTCCGTTTGCTTCCTCACATAATGGAATCCAAAGTGTCTGACGGATTCGTACCATAACGGTGAGGGGCAAGTGGTTTGAAGTCAACGGCCTTAATCGCTTGGCAACGTATATTGATAAATACTTTTTGCCGAACCTTTAGGAATAAAACAAAAAGGTTACTGAAGATTTGACTCCCAATGATAATTTGCAATACCATTCCATGCAAACAAAGATAGATTATATTAATGAATTGATGTTTGAATTTAAATTGAAGATACAAGTGTTTGGGAACCATGGTCAGAATGGAGCTCTTGCAGTGTGACATGTGGTAAGGGAGAACAAAGTCGTCAAAGGGAATGCAAGCTTGGTACCAATGGAAATGAGTGTTCTGGACATAACGCAGAGGAAAGAGTATACATGTGATGAAGATTCGTGTCCTAGTAGGTATTTATTAACTTGAAATAAGATAAGTAAAAATATCGAATGTGTAGCTCTCTATCATTTAATATTGATGAATCATTCATTTTTTTCAAATTTTGCATCATGACATATCATATAAGATCAGAAATATAAATACATGTTTAACATTATTCCGTCACTGGTGTCCAAACGCTAATATTCGGATCATTAATTTATTACTTCTAGGCATTCAACGTATAGTTGTATTTTTGTATCATACTCGCTGATATATTTGATGAAGAATTCAGTGTTTAAGATTTTTATCAACAGCATGTCCGGCGTTAGGTAACCCCTACGGAATGGTAAAAACGTGTGAGAAAACCGAAGAGGTGACCACTTGTACACTGAGATGTCTTCCTGGATATTTTCCACCAAACAGTACATATAGCTCAGAGAACTGGACAGTTGTTTATCAATGCAGTCCATTCTCCTCCTATACCTGGAATACAACGGCTGTTTCACCATCATGTACAAGTACAAATATACTTTGACACATATATCAAAGCGTAAATTTCATTTAATGATAAACAAAACAAATTTGTTTGCAATTTTTGTTACACTAGTTCCTTCACTAGTCTTTATAAGTCTGATACAAGTTAATCAATCACTTATTTTTTTGCGTTCAACCTCACGGAAATTCTATTATAATCTATAATGAGTAATTAATCTAATTCACTGATAAGATTTTGATCTTGCTATTAATCGCAAATGTAAACATAATGTTTAAGGAGGTTTTGGTTTGTTGTTGTTTCTTTTTCTTTCTTTCTTTTTTTTTCAGAAACATCCGGTCGTCCACGCCGCATTGATGCTAGTGCTTCAATGGCGATTTTCCCGCAAATTTCTTGTGGAAAGTCGTCTGCGTACGAAATTTTTATACGAAATCTCGTGTATGGCTCCATTTGTCAGCTTGGGATCAGCTGTACAGTCATCGCAGACGTAACTCAATGTGGCAACAGGAAAAGACGTCAAACAACCGCAGATAATAGCGATATAACATTAACTTTCGCGTTTGAGTTCGACAATGAAACTGACTCTGGTAATACAAATATAACAGTGTGTGTTAGTAAATCAGATACGAGTATTTATCTGTATAACACAAACAAATGATATTTAAAACATGTCTCTTAAAATAAACTGAAAAAAAACTCCTTAGATACAAATCAAGATATGATCATAAACAGTTAAAGAACACTTTTAAGGCGTATGCTCCAGTAAAATACAGACATTAAGCAGATTTAAAATTAAATAACCTAAACGGTACAATAACAGATACCTCTTAAGTGAAAACAAGTAAAGCGATTTTCAGTTGTCTACCCTTGAATTCTTTATTTATTTATTCTTTTATTTTTATTTTTTTTATTTATTTTTTTTTTTTTTTGGGGGGGGGGGAGGGGGTGTTTATCCATATCATTTCAGTGGCAAATTATTCATAAAATCTCTCAAGCCTCATTTTAAATTTTGCCATTATTATAAATAATTTGCATAGTTTTACATAAACGAATAACTAGTTATAAATTCTTGAATTTTTACAGTCACAGGAAGTCAGCTGTATGAAAAAACAGAAACAAAGAAATTGTTTACCTTGATTTGGACTTATCTGCCCTTGAAAAAACAGCATGTTCAATTGGGGATAACTTTAAAACGAAGTCTGTTATTATATTCCAACAAAATATATTTTCTTTCATCCAGTCTATCAATATGTCCTTATCCTGACTTTAATTGTAATTAAAATCGTGGTCGATTATAATTCTATTTATAAACTAAAGAAACAACCGGTTTGGAAAAATCTAAATGTGACATACACTTTGCACAATATGTCTTATATACGTAGTAAATTATTTTTGTTAAAACAGTGTAACAACTATGCTACGACAAAACTATATTGGCATGATTCCGATGGTCACTATTTCTGATATTAAACAAGTTTGTTTCAAAGGAGCATGCAAGAGATGTTTTTGCACCCGTGAAAAAATGTGTTTAACTGTTCAAATGGTGTGAAAGTTAGATTTTGTGATTGGCGAACAATAGCAATATATCAGCTATTTCCGTCAGTCTATGGATAAGCTCTAATTAGGAATAATCGGTGAGGTGTTTCAAAATTAAAGGACCAGCAAAATTGCGGTACACGATTCACTCGATCAACGAGTAATGGTGCTTGGTGTTAATGTAGGTTTAGTAAATTAGTGATACTGCTACTTCTTTTCGAAACATGGATTATTAAACGCTATTCAGAAAACAAAAATCGTTAACAAGGACATGGCCACAATAATTATATAAAAGGTAGAATCAGAATTGTTATTTTGGCTCTAAATTTTGAGAACGCATTTTTTAAACGTTAAAGCGGTTTTGGTATAAAAAAATATGCTAAGTGCAAGAAATATAAAGCAACACAAAGACAAAAAATATTGTTTTCTTTACTAAAGGTAACATCAATATGACAGAATACTGGGATGCAATTGAAGATTCTTTATCACCATTATCAACAAATTCTGGTGACTGGTTGACTATTGTGATAGATGGTGTTACATATGTAGCAGATACAGCAAATATAACCAAAGGAGCCAATCTGGAATGTAGTAGTGGATACTTTTTACAGGACGAATATGATATTTGCGGTATGTTTTACCTTTTTCTACCTTAATTTTCAAATTTTCAGATTCTATTCATTTTATTCCTAAATTCATAGCAAAACACACTACAAGTTTAGCAAAATTGCAAATTCCTTATTTTATAAACAAGAGACAAAGTAGAAGAGCCGAAAGCAGATTTATCTTTTACAATATTTATTGATAATAGCTTATGTTACGAGCCAGGCGTAACGAGAAAGAAAGGCCAGCAACAAACTTGTAACAATAACAAATTTATTACAGAAAAATTATTAAAGAAAAATTGAAGAATTATTTATGCTTATAAATACCTGAAGTCCAAATAAAAATGTAAATCTCAAATGTCTAGTCTGATCCTGGAATGATCCCTTTTTGAACAGCAGAGTTAAATCCAAGTTAAATCCAAGAACACTTTGGAATAAATTCCCACAATAAAATCCACAAGAATAATTTATCCTATTTTAAAATCCAAGCTCCAATAAATCTGGCACTAAATTACTTAATGTCCAAGTTGAATAATACTCCAAGTGTATTTATGACTTAAAAGGTAAAGAAAATGAAAAATGCCCCCTTATATATATTAGCTAAAATCATTCTAGATCAGTCTTTTATGTTCTCCAGTAATCACAACCTAGCACCTTCAACAGTAAAGAATATTCTGGAAATTTCTATCTAAACATAATGCATGAACCATAATCTAGAATTTTCTAAAACAGTTAATTAAGTGATAATTTTGGAAATACCAACTTGTCAGAGATAAACTATATACATGTAATATGTTGCATACATAACACTTAGTAGTGTTCTAATCAACAAAATCGTAGGGGAAAATGCTGCTGATGTTGAATTTCTAGGAATATCCATCAGAGCAAATTGTAGTTCTGCATACCTTATGCCTTGATTGTCGTAACCGATATGTGAATTGTGTGAATTGTGCAATAATGAACCTACTTTCACTAACGTTTTGTTTGTTTGTTTGAAAATCATGCACAAATTAACAACAGTATGTTGTCTGATTTGACTTTGAATCGGGCTATAACTGACCGTAAATTTAACCTTGAAATATGCTACATATAGGAAATTTTTATGATTCAATAAAACATATATGGAGTCTTTCGATTAAAAGGGGGCACTATATATATGTGTTTACAGAATACGAAGAAGACATTGACCATGAATGAATATATCAATTTTTTGTTAATTTATCGCCATTTATGAACCTTGGTCCTGCTGAATTTCTTTAAATGAACGTTCAACCAGCCTCTATTTGGTATTAAAATTGCTCCATTATTTTCACGGCAGTCTCAAAGCCCGTGATATGTGATGGGTGAGTTTTCGGTAAGCATGGGCATAAGTCACGTGACAAAAGAGCCTTTCGGATTTCTACAGCGACATTTTATTGATTTTTTACGCAAATCATTGTTACATGACAAATCAAGCCCATACATAAAACATTCTAGTGTTCCGTGGTATACAGCCTGTCCACGTGTCATACTCCTTTCCTTATTACAGAGAATTTTCACTGGCTTGTTATCCATTGCTGGTTTGTTTTGAGAGCAGAGAATGACTGTGCATGTAACAACAGAGCGGTACCGTTGTTTCAGCAGATTTCGGCAAAGAGGGTACCGATATGGATATGCACCGTGTTGTACAGCCCATTTCCGTGAAAAAATACATAGAAACAGTTTTTTTTTCAAAACCATATAGAATCTAATCAGCTATTTTATCAAACACATGAAATATTCCAGTGTTTTTATATTAACACAACTTTATCCGCACATACCTTATGACACACTTCAGCCTGAAATTCGCCAGGTTAACATTGTCACCGTACCGGAGACGTGTTACAGTATCGCGTTTTCCGGTTACAGTATAAAATCTTTAAGGATGAGAAAAAAGAAGCTAGTGTCAACAGTTGTTTTATGTGCTTTGCCTTGTAGGAACAGGAGAATCCGGTATCATCTAGGGCAAATATTTCTTCAGACCCTGCACCCCAAGATTCTATCGACAATTGTCTCAAAATGTGCACGGATTTGGAGGACAGTTTAAAAATTTGAATCGGGAGACCTACGCATTTTTCTCCCGATTCCGAACACTTATATTAGAGCATTCGCCTAATATAAATACATGTGTCAAATCTACAAAGACATTAGTCTTTGTGTTTAGGAAAACGTTAGCTATTAAAAGTAAATGACCAGTTGAAGAAAAATAGACCAGTGTTACAGTTTATAGCGCGAGGTTAATTTTGAAGGGTTACACAATAGACTACGCACTTTGATCCAAGTTTTGTTTAGCAGTTAAATACCCAGATTTTCGGTTTACAGTTTTAGGATACTTGCCAAATTTCAAACAAAAGCTTCGTGCATCGTTATGTATTGAAATTACTCACTAAACCTTTCTATTTACATACCATTACTTTGAAAGGGTCGTATTACTTTTTTTCTGTCAGCAGAAAGTTGTAACTAGTAGTTTGCTATTAGTTTTTCACTTTAAGTTTAGATTGAGACTCTTTGATGAATAAGTAGTGTCCTAAGTAAGGACTGTTTTTCACGACAACACAGTAACTTTAATCGATTGTATCGAGAGAGAAAGATATTGCCTTGATTTTCATTAACATTTATATAATCGCCTCATAGTAATTAAAATAGAGAAAAAAATCTTTAACAGTAAGTCCAACACGCGAAAGACATGAAAATGTTGCACGGTGCAGTTTGATTAAAACCTGTTCATAGACGATATTGGTAATGCAAAGCTACCGTCCACGCCTCCTAGCATCGGCTTGGCAGAATTCACATTAAACATGAACTGCGTACACTTTCAGATTTTTAAAACACTTCGCTGGATGTGTTCATATGGCGGTTTCATATGGATACTGTTCAATGTGACACGTTATTTCCATCTCTATCATCAAGGCGGCATATTATCACCAGGTTACAATTTGCGTTTGCCCTAAACGAGATACAATGATGAACTAAATAACATGAACAGATTTGGGAACAGGGGATCCGGCAGAGTTAATAACAGAACTGCATACTCATAGTTAAGCATGTCAAAAGACAGAATTAACAAGCAGGCAATGCCCTAAGGAATGATTAAACAGTTATTTAAGTGAGCAATATTAACAATTCTTAAATTTATTTTAATTTTGGCAATTTCCCGTCTACCATAATCGCTATTTATGTGAATATTTAATAAGGGTTTTTCTTTTTGGGCTTTCTTGAGATTTTTAGTCTTTCAACGACACTGAGTGATCATGTGAAAACATTCCTACTTAAGTAGTAATTAAAAACCCCAGATACTTTTGTGAAAACAATTTCAAACACTGAGCGGGCACCTGATAGAAACCACCACCTTCCGAAATTAGCCTTGATTAGAATTCCTCACATACAGTAATCCAAAGTCCTATGATTATGATTTCACACTTCAGCAGTAAATGAAAGATAATTTTGAAGTCGACGTGCCATTATCCGACTCTGCCACTTTTATGAACACGACATTTCAGGAATTCACTAATAAGGATACATGTAATAGTCTGACCCTGTATTTAATACTTTACTATCAATATTATTTTCTTATTCCAGAACAATGAAAAACTGCTATAAGGATGTCTGAAATAAAAAAAGACGAACTTTTTAATCAATTATGACAAGAATAATGCGTAACTTCAACAAAGACGCATTCGAAATGACCCCATGATCATGATTTGCATCTTGAAGCTTTGGTTCGAGATGAGAAGGGTCTTTAAACATTGCCTTTTGTTTCAAATCTACTGTTTTGGGCTTCGTATCCCCATTGCAACCGAAACATCCTTGGACAACTTAATGGTAGGACAGACTCAGGTAAATTTCATCACCATTTATGTCAAGAAGTTACTAGCGGATGGGAATCTAACAACCACGGTATTAAGCTTGACAATAATATTGTATATGTTACGCAGACGGAAAACGACAGAGCCATCGGCGCCAAATAATCTAGAGATTAAAGGTCTATACACATTCATACATCATTTACCTTAGTATGACAAAAATATCGCAAGTCTAAAACTGACACCAACACCTTTGGTATAAAACATGCAACACAATCGGATCAAAGTCGCTAGGTCTTTGCTATGTAACCCGCACAAATTACCTCGCTCGATTAACATTGGTTTATTTTTTCAAACCGCATTTAACCGAACAATAAAATAGGTTTCAACTGGTCATTTACTTTTATAAACGTTTTCTTAAATATGACTAACGTATCTTGGCAAATTTATCTTTTTCTACGGCATGCATACTAATGTCGAAAATGAAGAAAAATTGCGATGTCTAGCGATCAAATTTTCAAAAACTGTCATATCTGCATATTTAATGCAGAATACGTATAAGCATAAATCTGCGATGCAGAGTCTAGAAGAAATATATGACTAGATCCGATTCTAGTTCACTTACAAAAGCACTTTAAGCACAAAAACATCTTTTAGAAACTAAACTACCTCTGTAGTATGGACTGGGAGTAAAATCACCTACCTGTCCTCCCAACAAAATAACGCCTCAATCTTTCAATTCTAGATACGTAACACAGTTCCATAAGTGATTGTATACGCACCGGTCTCTCAAATATCGACAATGGACAGTTAAAGGATTATGTATAGTGGCTGATTTACGCCATGTCGTATTTTCGCTTCTTCGCCTCAAAATACGAAAATACGAAAACTACGGAATGCCGTTAGGGTCATTGCCTATGAATGTGTTGATCTGAAACGCGATAGTCGATAGAACGATGGTGAAAACGCGAAATCACGAACTACGATGGTTGCTGAAAACCATTGCAAACCACGATGATGAAAACGCAGAAAGTACGATCGATGAACCAACGCCGACAGTATACGATACTACGAGTGATGAAGCAGCGCGAAATAAACGTATCGTGTTTTCACCATCGTACCTGTCGCGTTTTCACCATCGTTAGTTCGTGATTTCGCTTTTTCATTATCGTACTGTCGTGTTTCATACAATCGCACATATTCGCGTTTTCACCATCGTACTATCGCCGTTTTTCATTATCGTACTGTCGTGTTTTCATCATCGTACTAATCGCGTTTTCACCTCGTACTTCGATCGTGATTTCATCATCGTACACTATCGCGTTTTCATCAGTCGCACTATCGCGATTTTCACCATCGTAGTTTTCGTGATTTCGTGTTTTCACCACTAGTACTATCGACTATCCGCGTTTCAGATTAACACATTCATAGGCGATGGCCCTAACGGCATTTCCGGGAATGCCGTTAGTGGCCATCGCCTATGAATGGTTTTGATCGTGAAACGCGATACTCGACAGTACGATGATGAAAACGCGGAAATCACGAATAAACTACGATGGTGAAAAACGCGACAGTACGATGGTGAAAAACACTGATAGTTTATCGCGATTTTCATCATAGTAGTATCGTACTGTCGCGATTTCATCATCGTACTATTTCGCGTTTTCATCCATCTTGCTTTCGCGTTTTCACCATCGAAGTTTCCGTGATTTCGCGCTTTTCACCAGTCGTACTATCGACTATCGCGCCTTTAGATCACCACAATTCATAGGCGATGGCCCTAACGCATTCCGTAGAAAACAGGAAAGGACGAGAAAGTTGGACTTATGTGTTCTCATGTCGGAGTAAATCTTTTCACGTGTAAAATGTCTTTTGAACATTACATTTCTAAGTTTCTATATTTGCAATTAAAGCTTTAATTGTCTTTTTTGAATAAGTTTCATTTTTCTTGCGCAATAACACATTTTTTTTCTCTAAACTGACACTTGGTTTTCTATATTCGTTTCACAATAAACATTCACCATACCAGGTTGTACAATAACTTAAGTTGCGTCCGGTGAATCAAGCCTTTACCACAACATCAAAATTCATTCAGAATTCATGTCTCGTTATTGTGAGCAAAATTCTGAGTTTCCTTTAGATATGTTTAGATATGAGCAAATGCGAGGGGGATATAGAATTAGTCTCCGTCCGTCCAAATATGTCCTTCCTGCCGTCAGTCCATCCACATTTTTGTCCCGATCCATACTCTAAAAAAGTATCAACTTGAAACTTCATAGGTGGAGATATCAACTTGAAACTTCATAGGTGGATAAATCAAATTTAGGAGAAAATGCAGTGCACAAGAATGATAACTCTACCCTGCATAATTTTTCAGTTATTGCCCTTTGTGATTTTTCAAACTTAATTTTTGTCCAGATCATAACTGAAAAAAGCCTTTGAGATATCAACATAAAACTTCATAGGTGGTTAGATCTCTATCTTAGTGATAACTCTACCTTTCCTAATTTTTGAGTTATTGCCTTTTATTACTTTTTTAATACTTAATTTTCACCTGAGTGGAGTATAAATAAAGTCAAAAAAATTGAGATGTCAATATGAAACTTCATAGGAGGACTTTGTGAGGAGGACTGTTGTGCGAAAGAATGATAACTCTACCCTTTTTAATTTCTAAGTTACTGCCATTTGTTATTTTTCATACTTTGTGTCCGGAGCATATCTGAAAAAGTGTAAGAGGTAACAACTTGAAACTTCATAGGCGGATAGATCTCATTGAGGAGGAGTGCGCAGCACATAAAAATAATAACAAACCGTGCATTATTTTTCAGTTATTGCCTTTTGTTATTTTTCATACTTAAATTTTGTCCAGAGTATAACTACAAAAGTCTTTGAGATATCAACATGAACCTTCATAGGTAGATAGATCTTACTCAGGAAGTTGCAGTGCGCAAGAGTGATAACTCCACACTTCATATTTTTTTAGTTATTGCCCTTTGTTAATTTTCATAATTATTTTTTCACCTGAGTGGAGCATAAGTCAAAAAGTCTTTGAGATGTCAACATGAAACTTTATAGGTGAATAGATCTGATTAAGAAAGAATGATGTGCACAAGAATGAGAACTCTATCCGTTATTATTTTTGAGTTATTGCCTTTTGCTATGTTTTATACGTTTTGTCTGGAGCTTATCTCAAAAAGTGTTCGAGGTCACAACTTGAAACTTCAGATGGATAGATCTCATTTAGGTGGAAAGCAGCATATAAGAATGATAACCAATCGTGCCTTTTTTTCAGTTATTGTCCTATTTTATTTTTCATACTTAATTTTTGTCCAGGTCATAACTAATAAAGCCTTTGAGATATCAACATTAAACTTCTTGGATAAATCTCACTCAAGAGGTGTGCAGTAAAAAAGAATGATAAATAACCGCTTTACTACATATACATTGCTCTTGTAACAAGTTACATTTATATAATACTTAAAAACCTTCTCAACAAGTTAACATGTCAATTCAGCGCAATGCTATTTGGAGATACCTTATCATTACACTTAACTGTTGTGTTTTTTGTTTTTTGTCGGAGTTGTTTTTTCTCTTTCATTTTAGTTTTCCGCCGTGACAATCACATTGCTGCATTTGCCAGCAATTTTTTACTTGTTAGTATCAGTTTTGGAGATATCAGGGTGAACATTAAAGGTTGATTAACCGATAATATAGAGGCTGGTCAGATTACTGGCAATAGTTTTTTTCGTGTTTATATCATCCATATAATATTCCTTAAATGTCGACGTTCGTTCTGGTTCTTTGTATACGATTTTTTTCCCTTTGTTAATGTATGATATACAATGTACGTCAAATGAAACATTACAGTAACTACAATTACAGTCATTATTATGTTTCTTGTTGATACCCAAAATCAAAAGCTTCAGTTTTGTCACAAATTGTTTGATAAGAATAAACAAACAACACTAGAATCGTATGGTTGCTCTTTGGTATGCAATATTGTCTAGCAGAGCTGCATCAGTACTAAGGGTGTAGTACTTAAGTACCAGTACCAGTACTTGGCAAATTATGCAGTACCATTACCAGTACCAGTACTAGATTTTAGCTCGGTACTGCAGTACCAGTACTTTTTTTTGGTGAAGTAATTAAGTATCAGTACCATTACTTTTATATATTCATCAAAGTTTGAATAAATACAGTGTCAAACAAATAATAGCAAATATTATTCAGCAAAGAAATAAAATCATTATTTACTTTAAAGCTGCATGCCTCCAGATGACCCAAAATATTTCAAGAAAATTAAACTTGGAAAAAAATTACTAAAACTTTGAGAAAAGTAAACAAATTTTAAGATTCAAGTGATAAATTATATCTTATGTGCAATTAATGACTGTATTTTGTAGTATTTATCACCATATTTCTACTGCGTTACTAACGCAGTAGGGGCTATTTATGCATGTTTTGACCTTTTTTTTGGTAATTTACGTGGATTTTAAGTGCCGATTGTAATGTGTCAAGTACTTTCTTTGTTCATTTAACAATATTTTACCTTTAAATACATTTTCAAAATTTTCATGAAAATTAGGATGAATCTGGAGGCAAGCTGCTTTAAAGTTAAAATAACATATTTACAACTTTATAGTTTTAACATACTTTTTACAAACAATATTTACAACATATATTCATGTCATACCTAATTGTTTAGTAACCAGTCAACTGTATAAATACAATGGAAACATCTTTCATTTAAAGCACGACAGTCTTTTGTTGCCTTTCACACCTTCACACCTCTGTTCAATTTAAACCAAAGTAAATAACAACATTTTATGGTGCTAACAATATCACTTTTTTCACTTGAAATGGGATTTTTTAGAATAGAAGAAATTATTTAGTGTTTATTTTGCTCTTTTACTAGTAAATACAATGTCTAATAAAAGATTTTAATAAGGATATTTTAGGGTAAAGAGTTATTGAGTCTGTTTATCTTAATTTAATTTTTACTTAAAGTCTTTGGTGCTTTATATGATGAATACTATGTTAACATTTGAAGGAATATTGCAGCAAATTATCTTTAGATTTGATAACTTACTTTTTCACAAAAATAAAATATAGTTAATGTATTTTACAGCTTTATTTTATGAGAAAAATTGATGTTATTTTTAAATTCAAAACCAAAAGTACTGGGTAATGCAGTAGCAGTACCACTTTTTAAGACAGTAATGCAGTACCAGTACCAGTAGTAGCAAAATTGTGTAAGAGTAATTCAGTATCAGTACCAGTACTTGCAAAATCGCTGCAGTACGTACTGCAGTACCAGTACCAGTACCAGTAATGCAGCTCTGTTGTCTAGGTGTCGCAGTTTTCCTTTTGGCTCATTTCAAACAGTAAAAGAGTGTCAAAAAAGGAGATGTCTGGAGGTCAATGAAAACGCAATTCAAAATGTGGAAATTGTTTTCCCTTGTCTTAATACTATTTAGTTTAGGTAGAAAAATACGAACTATTCTTAACACAAGATCACAATTTGTACATATTGTGATCTTTTGTTAAAAAAAGACAGCGTACCAACTATATTTTAAGATACATTTTCTTGCTTCAGTGTGGATATAGTATTAAAGGTGTTGTATGCAAGTAAATAAACAATAATAACAATAATTCTTTGATTAACATGCTTATAAAAACATGACATTTTTTCAACTTCATCTGTTACTTGTATTTCTATTTCTTAAACAGTTGGTTGTTCTCCCGGCACAATGTATGATGCTAGAAATGGTTACTGTCTCTCGTGCCCATTAGGAACTTACCAGGAACTTGCGGCCCAGAATTGGTGTGTACCATGTCCTATTGGCTACACGACAAACATCACTGGCAGCTACGACCAGTACGACTGCTATTGTAAGTTCGTAAAAAATTAGACGAAATAATATTATAAATATCGTTCTAGATTTAAAAGTTGCATTAGCACAAATGTAGTTATAAGTATGTATATACATTTCATTTTTTTTACAATAAAGCTTAAGAGGAATAAAATCAATTTTAATTGGATTATTGTTAGATAGAATATGCGAAATATTTGTATTATGAGATAATTCATACTGGACCGAGTATACTTTCTGATATTTTATTTTTTATAACATACTCCAGTTCAAAACCTGGAAAATAGAAAGCCCTCGAGAGTAATGAAACCTGCAGACCTGGTTTGACTGACCCTGTTCATGAAAGTGCAATACCTCTTAAGTTGGCATGTGCTATGATTTAATTAACAATGAAGCTCGTGGGCTATGATTAAATTAACAATGAAGCTCGTGTTAGTTGGCATAGACTATGGTGCAATTAGCAATGTAGCTCGTGTTAGTTGGCATGTACTATGGTGCAATTAACAATGAAGCTCGTGTTGGTTGGCAATGGACTATGGTGCAATTAACAATGAAGCTCGTGTTAGTTGGCATGGACTATGGTGCAATTAACAATGAAGCTCGTGTTAGTTGGCATGGACTATGGTGCAATTAACAATGAAGCTCGTGTTAGTTGGCATGGACTATGGTGCAATTAGCAATGAAGCTTGTGTAAGTTGGCATGGACTATGGTGCAATTAACAATGAAGCTCGTGTTAGTTGGCATGGACTATGGTGCAATTAACAATGGAGCCCGTGTTAGTTGGCATGGACTATGGTGCAATTAACAATGAAGCTCGTGTTAGTTGGCATGGACTATGGTGCAATTAGCAATGAAGCTCGTCCTAGTTGGCATGGACTATGGTGCAATTAACAATGAAGCTCGTGTTAGTTGGCATGGACTATGGTGCAATTAGCAATGATATTTTTGATAGTAGGCATTAGCTGTTACAATAACTAAGTTGCAGTAAAACTTATTACATTAAGAAGGTAAGCTCGTGTTATTGTGAATAAGCTTTCTTACAATTTGATGTAAAGCTCGTGTTAGTGGGCTCAATGATGTTATAATTGACTTTAGGACACCAGCAGGTGGGCATGAGCTCTTTTTTAAACTAGCTGTACATGTAGAGCTAATTATAGAGGCCTTGAGTTGTGTAACTTTTGAATTATAGCTCTAGACAATGTTATAAAGTAGAATATGAAAACAGTAATATTTTTTACAATAATTTTTATCATTGAGCATTTGACTTATTATTTTCACTATTTTTGTCTTTTCTACTTACATCATGTAACGATCATTCCCAGTAAGTCGACCATATAAGGAATGCAGTCTCGGGTGTGTTAATGCTGTATGTAACAATTCATGTGTATGTGAATCTTTATTTGCACAAACATTACGTTAATAATTTTCGGTATGGCCGAATATACTAAATATTTTAGTATTCTTTCATTTCAGATACTGAGAATGCAGCTAACAATGGTAGGATATTTTTTGGTTCGGACAGGAAAGGGAGGGATTTGGTCACATATTTTTTTTTAACAAATCTGTGGCATATTTTATTAAATCACGAAACTCATTAAATGTGGATTCTTTTATTTGATAATTTATTAACACGAGATACTGATATGTAAATTGTATATAAATGAACAAACTGATAAGCTGGACTTCTCCATACTATAAGTTTGATTTCTATAAATCTACAGGTGACGTTGAGGGTTTCTATGACGTAATTGGTGCAGCACTAGGATCATGTTTGGTTATTATTCTTGTAGCGGTTTCTGTCGCAGTTATAGTCAAGGTGAAAAGGTACAGTTACAAATTTTACTTTACAATACATGTATATATACTCTTCTTTGTCATTTCAATCACCGTAGCTATTAAATAATGTTTTGCGTCCGCATCTTGCGGCGTGTCCTGTGTGACTTTGTGTTGGTCTTGAACGAGTGGGCTTGATTTTGTTGGGAGCTGCATTCTGTGAACGTCGCTATGTTCCACGGCATTCGTTTCACTGCCATTTATGATCCACCCCTTCTATTCCTCCTGTCCCCATTTTATTTCTCCTTTCAAAATTCGCGTCTTTTTTTTTTCAGATTATTCTTATTTGTTAATTGTAAACAATAATAATTTTTCCCCGCCCTTCATTTTCTGTAGTATTTTGTACGCTATAACTGACCTTCAAAAAGGTCTTGTTGTACTAAATAAATGTCACCGGGACTGCGTCCAATGAATATCGCGCTCCCTTGATGATCTGTGAACTCATAACTTACAGTTGCAATAACATTTTCAGGGTACATCTGAAAAATAAAATCCACGATTCGTCTGCAGATATGATTGAGAACAGACGGCAGTCACACGAGGAGATGAGGTCTCGACTGAAATCAATTGCCAGCATTCAAAGTACATCACACATACCAGTATCCGTGGAAGATATTAAATAGATTTAACAGTTAACAAAAAAGATAAAACGCATATCGTGTTTAGATACTAATAGATTTTTATTATTTTGTTGTCGACAAAAATCAGTTTTGGTGGTATGATTACTATTTTTTTATATTGATTCCAAACACCATGAAATCGGAGGGTCATTCATAGTATACCTTTGTCCATGTTTGTAACTGCGGGCAAATGTGCGAGTCCGAAAAAGTTCAATATTACAATAAAGGATTTAACTTAGTATATTTATAACGTTTTTTCTTAAGTTTAGCAAGGTCTTAGAAAGTATCAAAGTTGTTCACTTCAAACTCAGTTATTTCACAAACAAATGTGCACAATATTAAAAGGGCATAATTATAATCGTAAAACTAATTTTGCAAAATAACGCCTCCCTTTTTTGGCTTACTTTTTTTATATTTTTATGCCCTTCTTTACTTTTTTTAGTCTATTCAAAAAAAAAATTAAAGGTATTCACTTCAAAGTAGGAAAAGTACCAATGGTTTTAAAATAAGATTCTGAGATACATGTATCACGATTGTAAAACAGTTCTAAGTCACAATATACAATTTGTATACAACATCATAAAAACATGTATAACAAGAGCATTGAATTGAAGTTTGTACACAGAAACTCGTACTTTTGCATTTTTTAAAGGTAACTGAATTATGGACAAATATTGCAGTAATTTCTCTCGCCTTCATGAAGAATGAATGACAATGGTCTCTGTTGTATTTGAAAAAACTAGATGTAATTTAAAGGCCCATTTATAAAAAAAGAATCATATTATTTTTGGTGCCCTTTTACGGTTTTATTGACAACTCCACCAACTTTTGCTTATTTAGTACAGCTATTATGTTTATGTAATCTGCATGGAATTACTTCTTTGTTACATTTTCCTACTTTTTTGACAAATTATTTAACATCCAGTGCTTCTTTCTTCAGATGATACACGGAACTGCCAAGCATGTTCTAAATTCGTTATATTAGGAACATAAAACACACGTTTGACTATTCTGAAAAAAGGAAAAATGTACTCATTTCTTAGCGTTAATGTGCTTAGTTTTCTTGTTTTGTTATTTACTTTGCTTTATAATATATTTTGTTATGATGTTCTTGCATATAATTAACTATTTTTTTATTACTCTTTCTATTTTTTTTTCAGATTTATCGTAGTTCCGTCCAATAAATGTAGCTTTAGCCAAAAAATCGAAATATTCAGTTGATAGTTGAATTAAATAAAAGTATTTCGTAAAACTGTTAAGTTGTTATTGCTATAAAATATACTAATATGAAAACAGTATGGAAACACCTCGTATATTTATACATGTATTTATATGCTGCTAACTTTTGTCAAGTGACAACAAGACTGACAGTTCTCTTTTTTTAATCAAAGCATGTAATCAAGTATGGTTCCAGGAACTGATCCGTCCTCATACCAGAATGTCGCAAATATACGGGTGGACGATTTAAGTTCAATTATTGATAGAGCATAAAACTAATCGCAGCGGTACTTATATAAACCAAATACCGAGATATTTTACTATATAATTCTTATTATGATGCACATTTTGTGTGGCAAATGAGGTTATTACCACTAAAGACCAAATTTTCCAATTGAAAAACACCTTAAAAACTGTTTTATTTAATTAGGATTTTTTTTTCAAAGAAACGTTCCTTTGGTGACAATCTACCAATATTGTTCAAATATTCCTGTTACTATGAACTGTAATATAAAGAATTGGCTGTCTCAGAAAGTTTCTCCAGGCTGCCGTAGCCCCTCAAAGTAATTGGGGGATACAGTGTAATGTTAAGTGTTCTCAACTCACTCCTTGGCTAACTTCACTGCGAAAAAGATACTGATATACGGGAATATACGGTCCTGTATTTTTGACATATACGGGCGTGTACGGGATGTATTCGTCGAATATACGGACCAAGTATACGAGTCCGTATAGGGAACACCGGGTATACGGGAAGTCCGTATATGCATCAGGCATATACGGAATTCCGTATTTGCCCCATATACATGTACGTATATTTGTTCGTACTTCTGAAGTATACGGAGAATTTAATCCCGTATACGGACTATATCAAGGTTGTTATCCCTAGTATACTATAAATATACCAAGGATATACGGGACCGTATTTTCTACATATACAGAGGATACGGACCCGTATTTTCTACGTATACAGAGGATATACGGAACCGTATATTCTACATATACATAGCATATACGGACTCTTATTTTCCACATATACAGATGAAATACGGAATCGTATTTTCTACATATACAGACGATATACGGAATCGTATTTTCTACATATACAGGGGAAATACGGAATCGTATTTTCAATATATACAGGGGATATACGGAATTGCATTTTTTAGTTGTCCACAGGGAATACAGAACTGTATTTTCTTGATAAAAGAAGATACAGATAATATCAAATGCATTTACATATAAAGTGACACGTATGCTTGACCGAAATGCAGACGTGTAAAAATAGAACATGTTTTATTACACATTTTGAATGGGAACTGTAAAGTCATATGCTTAAAGAACTTTATCTTCACAATTGGAGTATTTCAAATGATAAAGTAAAAAACCAAATCGAGTTCATTCTTAAATATTTATTATTTCATAAACATATATTCAATATGTATACATATATTAAACAAAATAAACATGTCTTCGCTACAACAGTCATATATTTTGCAAGCCTTTTTCCAGAGGGACAAATTAATGTAGCGTTTGCAACGGACGGCGATATACCGTTATGTTGCGATACAGAGTCATGAAATACGCATCACGGTGGAGAAAATCCGCACTGCGATATTTTCTTTAGAGATCGAATTATACATGTACAGTTTTCGATATTTTCAAGCCGTAACCTTTATGAATTGCATGTTATTTAAATCTAGAAACAACTATACCAACTTGAAGTTATTTTCTATTTATCTTAACAATGATTTTTATGAGCACACTAGTATTACACCTATAAAACATTTTAAAGATATTCATATCATTTGTTCGTGTTAACATTACATATTATTTTAGGAAAATGAGTCCATAGCACAAATGGATTATTACAGAAAGTTTTAATAATAATCATTAAAACTAAAAATCCGTATTCACAGAAATTCGTCATTCAAACACAGTTCTTAAAAGCACTTAAATACATGTATATCAAGCATCTATAGGAATGTTACGTAGACCAGTGTGATGGTGTCTATTTCGTGACGTAGGAAATGTTATCTCCAGATATTACAATCTTCTTCGGCATGTGTGTATCTGAAAAAGAGAGTTTAAAATCTTGTTTAAATAGTGTCTTGAAATAGTTATCACATCTTTCAAAAAGACTATACACAGGCATTTTTTAAGCGTATACATATATACACAGGCACCAGACACAATTATTTTACCCATATACGCTCCTAATACTATATATAAAGAATAAAGGCCCCTAACGAGAGAAAACTATCATGCAAAACAAACAAAAACTGTTCTGTAAAAATACACCAGATCACTATTTTGTCTTTGTGGTCGACTCAAGGGATGATTATTCCTATCATAAACACTTTTTACTTCATCGAAATCCCTCAAAATGCTCCAAAATACGAGCAAGTTTTCCAAATTTCACTGAAATGTCATTGCAATGTCGTTTTTCCGACGTCCAAGCGATGCGTGTAAACAAAGGTGAATTCTGGTCAATTTCTACAAAATCAACGAATAACTGTTAAAATTTTCACATACTTCTTTAAAACATCTCGTTTACAGTCAACTGCGAAAGTCTTTACTTCTCAACTGCCCCGGTGATAAATTCAACGAGCTGAAAAAATAAAAAAAAATTGAGAGCTCCGTACCAGAAAAGTAACGCATTTCCTACTTTACCGCACTGAATAAAAACGTCGATTAACGATTGGTTAGCGCGAAATCGGAAAAAACTCGGATTTCCCGCTTAACCAATCGTTACTTGACGTTATATTCAGTTGCGGTAAAGTAGGAAATGGTTACTTTCTGGACGGAGGCTGTCAATAAATTTATTTTTTTTAGCTTGTCGGCGTTATCATCGGGCAGTTGAGAAGTAAAGACTTCGCAGTTTGACTGTAAACAAGATGTTTTAAAGAAAGTATGTGAAAATTTTAACAGTTATTCGTTGATTTTGTAGAAATTGACCAGAATTCACCTTTGTTCAACGCATCGCTTAGACGTCGGAAACGACATGCAATGACATTTCAGTGAAATTTGGAAACTTTGCTCGTATTTTGGAGCATTTTGAGGGTTTCGATGAAGTAAAAAGTGTTTATGATAGGAAATAATCATCCCTTGAGTCGACCACAAAGACAAAATAGTGATCTGGTGTATTTTTTACAGAACAGTTTTTGTTTGTTTTGCATGATAGTTTTCTCTCGTTAGGGGCCTTTATTCTTTAATATATAGTATTAGGAGCGTAATATGGGTAAAATAATTGTGTCTGGTGCCTGTGCATATATTAACATTTTTTTCTTACGGCAAAATTTCAAAAATTATTATATATTTATTAGGGATAAAGATGTCATTTATAAAGCAAACCATTTACAACAGGGATTTAAAATGAATATGATTAATTTTATGACGGATGTAAGTAATATGTGTTTTTTATAAAACCTTACGAAATATATTTTTTTCACACCTTGTAATATAAATGATAATGGTAATCTTTGTTTCTAATGTAAAGAGTGTTTTATTTGATAAAAAATTTATTAAAATACAAAATAACTTGTATTGTTGGGAAAAAGGGTGCTGACATAATCTTTTTGATCGTTTTACGATTTAAATATTTAGCATCGTTGGTAGATTCCCAATTTCGTTTTGAAAAAAAGGTCCTTAAAAAGGTACAGATATTTTGATATCATTGAAGATTCCGTGTTTTTGCAAATCATTGATATCCCAGTTAAGTAAAAGGCGGAATACCCAGCTATACTTTCTCATTTGTATAAAAACGTTAAATCTTAACAAAATTTGGGGAAATATTGTTGTTTCAATTTCAATTGTCTTTCAAAAAAAAATAATCTCAAGCAAACGATTTGAATACCTTTCAATAATAACAATGGTGTAGATTAATTATTTTTTATTGTTTAAGAACTGTTTTAACTAAACAGTGGCTATCTCCAAAATAAAGTGATTTAATTCTCAACAAAATATTAAAATCAAAATAACCCCCTTGGCCCCTTAGCATTAATCTTGATAAGTATGAAATCAAATTCAGATGATAAAATAATACGTATCAGATGTGAACAATAAACATTAAAAAATAACATAGGAAATATTTTTAGATAATACATTTCGAATGCGACTAAATTAGCGTGTGCACCGTGAAACATTTACTACAAACGCAAATATGTTTTTACCGGAGCACAAGTACTGTGGCGTTTAGTATAATAATTTTAAGTGGGACGAGGGCTCAAGTTCACATCCAGGTGTGTCTCAAACAGCCTAGATTTGTGACAACGATGTACCAGAACTCTCAGGCGTAATTGCATAAGGTCATAAATATGCAGATGAAGACAATGTAGGAGCACATTGAGCACACACGAGATGTGTTGCTTGTAAACATTCATATTTGCGAAAAATGGGAAATGAGACAGATGTGACACTCACTCGAAGCACATTTGACTCACATTCTTCCATAAAAAATTCTAAAAGGTTAATAATTATCCCCGTCCGTTTCCTGGCAACCAGTCATTGTTTTGTGTTGTCTGTATTTATAATACCGTTTTAGGTCACTTCCGGTCCAATCAAAAACTTCCTTCCTCTGCATAGGAGTCCCATATTAACTTAAAGAAAAATCCCTGTCCTGCCTGTGCACAATGAAAATTTTCTAACAGTGCAGTATCTAAGAACCCCAAACACATATGCAGCGAGAGATTTTTATCGTTAAATTTTTATCAATTGTGAACACGTTTCTTTCCGATGCTCAAAGTTTTATAATTTAGGAATTATTCTAAGCAACAAGAAGGTAGTATTACGGTGGCATAAAAGGGACTCTAGGATTTTTCGTTATTTATTATGTGCGCACGCGAAAAAGCTTTTAACTTGGCCAATCGATACTTTTACGTGCGAAACGCAGATAAGCTATTCACGTTTCGTAAGGAATTAGTTATTTGCGTGCTCATGCGATATAACTATACGAACGTGCGCACGCGGATAGGTATTCTGCATTTGGACCCTGGACAATTCTTCCTCACATAAATAGTTCTGTACGCTCCGAGTGAGTGTCTTTTGTTTGTTTTGTTTGTTTGTTTCATTTACGTGGACGCCTTTTTCCCCAAAGTATTGTTCAGACCCCCCCCCCTTCATATAGGCGGGTACAGTTTCCTGAGAGTTAACAACCAGTACTAGACTCCCTCCTCGCGCGCTAAACTACCAAAGCATCTCCGGGGATCGAACCCACGCCAGAGAGGTAAATGGATTAGAAGTCATCGACTCTAACCCCTCGACCAACGGAGGCGGTACCCGAGTGAGTGTCAAACTCTACAGTGGGTAGGGGCAAATAGATTTTTTGAAATCATCCCCCGACCACAGAGACTAAATTGATCTAAGGAAGAAAATGAGATGACCATGCCCACACGTATTTTGTTTTATCAGAAACATATAAAAATATCGCCATTTTCAGAGAAGTGATGCTTTCAGATCCGCCATTGAAAAGCACTTACAAAACGTGCATGAGTTCCTAAAAGAATTCCGGTTAATGCCATAATTATGGAATATCGGACCTCGCAGAATCGGGCGAGACACGAGCATTCCGACGAGAACCAGAAGCGAGGCACGATACTGTAACACGAGATCTCGCAATGTCGAAGTATCCCTTACCACGAAATTTCACGGCTCGCTTTCATGTTTTGCCGGAAAGCGGCTTTTCTTGTCTCTCGTGCATCGCTTCGTGCATGTGCTTCTCAAATACCTGACTATGACAAAGGAACCAGCGCGGGAGCCATCTGGGCTTGTCGCCTTAAGTAATGGCGGACAGTTATTGACACTTTTTTGCACACTGCATGGCTATAGACCTTTTTTAGCAATACGATTTTCCATAGTCAACGAAATGTTGCATTTCGCGCATGCGCATTCTGCGATTAGGGCTAAAATGCAATATACGATATCTACAGTTTATCATACTTTTAAAAGGCTTTTATAGATGCGAATTTCATGTTATGTCACCTAAAAAAATATTAATTTTGGGATGACTTAAGGCGGAAAGTACTGAAAACGTGAATTTATTTTTTAACAGATCTACGAAAATGTGGCGAGACTAATAATTCAATGGTCTAAAAAAGGGCCGCACATGTCGTTTGTTTAAGGTATCATTAGACGACTTTTCCATCAGTAATTTAAATTGAAACAGTAGGGTTGTTAAAGAATAAAATTTTATTACTCATGTTTTACATAATATTACGCAATTTGTATTGTACACTTCCTTTGAATAACTGGATTGGTCAGACGGCAAGTGTCAAACAGATTGGCATCAACCTGGACGTTTAAATACCATGATATAGTTTATCAGTTACGTTTATTAAAATGGTAAATAATGTAACTTTTTAAATATACCGATCAATGTTTTACGGATTTTTGAGAAGAGAAAAATTGGTGTGACGTGCATTATTAAAAATAACATGTATTACGGAGAAGCGGAAAAAATGTGTGTTTATGTGCCATGTCTCTTCCAAACAACCTATCTTAACTTCTCAAGATTTTGAAAAAAAAATAATTATTTAAAATCTATTTATGTGACTTAAATTTTTTTCTGTTTGCATCACAGGCAAATCGGATAAAGGATATAATCAGGTATATTGAACACTAAAAATGCATTATCACCTGTTCTGATATTTTTTACAGAATTGATAATTAATCTCGATTTCATGTTATAAATAAATTTCTTTTGTTTTTATATGAACTATTTCTACAGCAAATACGTTAACTTTCCATTGGCTAATAGATATATTCCCACGTCTTCTTAAAAAAAATGATCTCAGTGTCAGGTCCGTGATCATAAATTCTTAAACAAGTATCTTTTTCCATGCCTTTTATGGCATTCTTCGCCACAAGCTATAAAGTCACCTTTTCTATATTTGTTTAAAGCTATTTAATATAATTTTCTACAGTTTACCTTGAACTAAGTCGGAATTGTCTATGAAATTCTACTATATTTTCTATGTAGAGCGATGCAGTTTTTTTCCCTACGCAGGTTGCGCATGCGCGAGAAAATTCTAATTCCGGTCGATTTTCATAGCAACGGACCGCGTCGTAAAAAGGTCTATAGACTCCAAAACGTCAAGCTATTTTCTATTTAAATTTCATTATGAAAACGTTTTTGACATTTGGTTGAAAAACATGCGAGTAAAGGTTGTATTTGATTAAGTGAATTTCAGTCTTCGTTATGGTGGTCACAGCACTGTAATTCTAAGTGATTTTACAGTAACAAATATGACGCTAGAAATGTTTCTTTCATCATTTTTATATCAGTTTTATCATAACTCTTTAAAATGAGATAAGGATTTGTTTTATATAGAATATAAAGGGAATACTATTTAGTGGTATATTGCCTCTTTCGCGTCGACGTACGATATTCGAAGCGAGACGTGAGATTCAGGCGAGATGCGAAACGAGTCGCGATATTGTATCGTTCAAATATTCGCCCGATTACGGTGATCCGTAACATTTTTGTCTCCTGAAACCGATATGCACGATGGTACAATGGTGATTTCTAGCGCAAAGGTACGATGATGAAAATACGGACGCATGATGATGAAAACAATGATGGCACGATGCTCATATAAGAATGATGCGATGACACGATGTTGAAAAAATAATATCGCGTTTTCAACATAATGCCATTGCAGTTTCATCATCGTACCATCGCATTTTCACCATCGTACTACCACGTTTTTCATCATCGTGCATCGCTGTTCAACACATCGTACAATCGTTGTTTCAAGTTTTGTATCATCGTGTTTTCATCATCGTTTCCATCGCGTTTTCATCATCCATGCCATTGTGTCATTTTTTTCCCGTTTTTTTACCATTGTACCATCGTGAAACGGGATTCCGTATGTTTCAATGTTTGCCTTCAGGTTAGCCAATCAAATTTCTTGAATTAGAGATATTATAATTGATAGTTCCACTGTAGGTTTAAGATTTTCAATAAAAAAACATTTGCAAACCTATTGTTGATTACATTTGGCGAAACGGCGAACCTCGAAAAAAATCTGCATGAGACAAATGTGCTTTTCTTGTCCCTTAAAAAATCATGAGACAATGTGCTTTCTGGTCCCTTAAAAAACTTGATCGGAACACATTTATCACACAAATGAGTTTTTTTGGGGTAGACATTTGAGGTCCCATTTGTCTCACGTGGGACAAATGCGACCCGCATTGGTCTTACGTAAGACAAATGTGCTCCGAGACAAATGTGCTCCTCCATAGCTTTTTCAACGGATTTGAATGGCCACAGCGGCCAAAAGTAGGCGATTTTTTATGTCAGTCCCTGTCACCACACCTTCCATTTCACTTTTATTTAGATCAAAAAAGAATTTGATAGAAACAAAAGTAAAATCAAGTGATATTAGGACAATTATTATTATTGTTGTACTCTTTTAGCTGTTTTTTTTTGCAATTTAATGAGTTTATAAGTGTACGTGAAAGTTTTAGTTTTAAATGCTGCTTAATTAAGATGTTTGAAAAGTAAAACTTACATAAGTGGAAAAGCTGCGAAGGGTTATGAGGTACGGTGAATTAAAAACAATTTATTCGGAGCAGCAGACCTCTTCGCTAAACTAAACTTTAATCTGCTGGCACCGGAAGTGGTTTGCATAGATTCTGGTTAGTATACAAGTTCGCGTCGTCTGACCAGTCTCTATAATGTTGGTAGTTCATATATAACATGGAATGTTTCAAATTCATTACAGGGCAAATCATATTACACAAATTCAGCAGTTAAAATAGTAAATAGACCGTTATAAAGAGGTCCAGTAAACTGAAAATTGTCTCTGAGATGCCCTAATTACGCGTAACCACATGCATGTAGTCGATCATCTAAAGAAAGTTAAGTTTTGTTAGGAAAGTGAACTAATCTGAATTACCTGTAACGAACATACGGGTATAAATGGGTACTTTGCGTGACTTCGGCCAACGCGTACACGTGTAGATATGACCGTTTCACCATCAGGATCAATATTCTGTAAGGCTCTTATTTGTTCTTCTGACCCATAGTAAGGTTCCGGATGATTTAAAATTTCAACACGGTGATACCTTCTTATAACTTCAGTGAATATGTCAGCAAAAACACACTATACGCCTCGGGATCGCTGGCATAAATACCTGCGTTTTTACGAAAATGCAAACACCCTGCAAACATTTCGAAATATAACAATATACTTTAGTGTATTTTTTCTTATGTATTTTGAAACAACAGCATAATTCTACTGAAGTTATTTAATATTGATTAACGAAATAACAAAAAAATGGTTAATTACTAGAGTATTCATATCGCAAGCCAATAAACAGTTTCTCATTAGAAACTATAATAAATATTTAATTAACATGTATTTTCTAATGAAATCGATATAGTCGTACGTGAGCTGTTTTCTCGAATGTTTAAAAATAATATATATCTCACCTGAACTCATACAATGTGCCAGTGTACCGCCAAATGAAGTTTTTTTGTCCTTCAGTTTGTGAAACAACTCTTCTGTTAGGATCCCCTTCAAAATGGACGGAGAGTCGTTCTTACTGATAAGTTCCCATAATTCCTCTGCTGGTCTAGGATTCCAATCCATGCTTGTTTGTGTGTTTTTTTTCTTTGTAAATATAAATAATAATATAAATCAGAAGTAATAAAGCAAGGTGAAGTTTATGAAATAATCAAACCATATAACGATGAAAACAGTATGCGACAACAAGATATGCACTGGAACACTGCAATATGAAATCACCCTCAGAGTGGATGACTTTTTGACGACACCCACCCAACATGGGTCCGTCCTACGTGTGTGTAACTTCCACATTTTATAGAATATATTTTAAATTCGGTGACTTTTTTTTTTTATAATTTCCCGTTCTCCTTTTTTTTTTTCATACCAACCTGCCTGTGCGGACAGTTAAGGTAAAATATGCGATGAAAAGGCACGCTCTCGGTGAAAAGTGAACAAATGTACAAAATAGAATGAGTGTAGGTCCTTACTGAATTTATTTAACGAGTTGAATAAAATTATATCATGCGAGCCCTTTGCGAGCATTACATTATTTTATTCATCGAGTTCAATAAGTTAGTTAAGTTAGTGCTGAAGCTGAAGCTACACGAATATAATTATTTATTTATTACATACCCCAAAAAAAAACTGTTTACAGTAGAAAGAATCATTTTTTCATTAACGTACTTATATACAGTGTACGTATACGTTGCTGTTTAAAGAAAGCTCTAGATCATTAAAAAAAATCAAAAAGAAATACAATTAGATGAACTCACTGGATTTCCTTTAACACGTTGAAGAATTCAAATTCATTTTTCGTATAAATATTAATATCACCTCTATATCAATTTAATATATAAAGTAAATCTAGTTTAATAAAGAATACCTTGTAATAACTTGTGTCTAATCACAGCTCCTGTTACGAATATATCATCGAAACTTAAATATAAGTCAAACTAAGATATCATCCAAACTTAAATATCATCCAAACTTAAATATCATCCAAACTTAAATATCAGCCAAACTTAAATATCACCCAAACTTAAATATCACCCAAACTTACATATCACCCAAACTTACATATCAGTAAAACACAGTCATCACAATTTCGTTTTAAACGAGTGCGCCTTCATACAGTTTTCATTTTTATAATTTACTAGTGATCATGAGCTTACATATTTTTTAAAAAACGTTTTTGCTGATTGCTTACCGTGTTAAAGGTGTATGATGAAGTGAGTATTACGACTGTGACATTCGCATGTAGCATCGATTCTTGTATCATAAAATCAATCGATTTGATCTCTCGGCTATGATGCTTCACAAAAGACCACTGGCATAAAAAGGCGGCATATTGGGAACTAGCACATGATTCTGCCATTTTGTTTTTTCAAAATTGGGACGTAAGTTGAAAAAATCAAGCTGGTAAAATGGATCTACCGCCGAGGTATATGTGTTCAAAATAACGTATTAAAATCCGCTTAAAACCAGAAAAACAGTCAAAGAAATCAGTTATCATGCAATTTTTTGTGATACTGTTGATACCGTGTAACAAAAAAAAAAATTAATAAATAAACAAAAAATAAAAAACAGCAACAACAATAACACGTTTATTTTAGAAATCTTTAGAGAAATTAGATAGTAAATGTTTTTTTTTTTTCAAAGTTCAGATTTTACACATGCTATAGGCAAATGATAACAGTATATTTCTATGATATTCTAAAAGAATACAAAGTTAAAGTAACTTCTATTATACAATTTTCATCCTGTCTGAAAATGGCCTATATTTCACTGTAGCATACGCCTTTAATATCCTGTTGCAATCGCCCACGCAATTTACTCGTTCAAAATAATTAGTCATAAAATTATTTATTTAAAACGATCACCATCCTGCAAGCTGTACGGCCGTAAATGAATAAATGTGTGAACATTTCCAAGATGGCAGACTGTTAAAGTAGTTAAGGTAGGTGAGCATAACATTTTTACTTGAAAATGTCTGGAACAAAAAGTGCATGGAGAACATGTTGAGACTCGGTACCATAAAGAAATATTCCAATGCCCTTTTGTTTTAAGAACAATGCCAATTGGTGAAAATCAAAATTATATCGAGGATCTCTAACTGTTATGATATGTTTAGTTATGTTCAGTTTAATGCACATGAGCCGCGTCACGACAAAACCAACATAATGCGTTTGCGACCAGCATGGATCCAGACCAGCCTGCGCATCTGCGCAGTCTGATCAGGATCCATGCTGTTCGCTTACAAACCCTATAGCAAGTAGAGAAACTGATAGCGAACAGCATGGATCCTGATCAGACTGCGCGGATGCGCAGTCTGGTCTGGATCCATGCTGGTCGCAAACCCATTATGTTGGTTTTGTCGTGACGCGGCTCATATGGTTGTCACTTGACAAGTTCAACTCCTACTTTATGTTGGTTGACGATGTTTTTGTAAGATGTAAAAAAAGTCTATATAAATGCTCGGAAACATGTATTTTTTTCTTTCATATCTTCAATGCAGCGTTGTCGACCATATGAATTGTTTCGCACACAGCTGCGTAGAAACATTATTTTCTGAACAATTTGACACGTAAACGAACCTTATTTCTGTACGGTTTAGATCCAAAATTTATAAAATCATTTTCTTACATAAGTTCTTATATTTTTTTTGTTACATTGTTAAAACACGTAATGTGTACAAAAACGAAACCGATGTCTAAATATTTGTGCCAAACAGTTCATATGGTCTACATTGAAGATTTAGAAAATATATGTTTTTGGACATTTATAATTACTTCACAAAAACGATGTTAACGAACGCAAATAATGAGTTGAAGAAGTCTAGACACTATAATTTGCATCGAAAGCATAAGCCTATTTAACAAATTATAACTAAGAATAATGCGAGATCCTCGATTCAATTTTAAATTTCACCAATTAGCTATGTTTACTGACAAACATAATGACAATGTGATTCCGAGGCCCTACACGTTTTTCATACAAATTTTGCTATATATTTTATAGCCAGATATATTCAAGAAAAACAGCCTACCTTTTCCACTTAGACATCCCGCACACATTTAGTTTAAACATAGTTTATTTCGAACAAATTCACAATCATATATACAGACAATAATGTCAAAATACAAACATAGTATGTTGACGAAAGCTGAGCTTATAAAGGCCTTCTCCTTATAGATTTACAGTGCATAAGATATGGTATGACAGTATATGTGACTTTCTTGAAATATATCTGATTTTACATTGTTTTTAAGAAGTTAAAGTCAAAATTGTTTCTAACATTTAGGTATAATATAAAACAAAAATATATACAAAAAAGGAATGAGAATACAAGACTGCATCATTTTGTTATATAAAATTAAAGAGAATTAACGTAAATTAAGATAGAAACAAAAAAAGGAAGAAGCTTTCAGCAAATAGAAAAGAAGAAGAAATTAATGAAATGTGGATCATTCGGATAGTTCAACGATTTGAATAGGAAGCATTTAGTGTTTTGAGCTGATGTGAATATACTTAAGAGAATCTCCTGCTTTCTCGGATGTATGTATGAACGGCTTCAAACAGTCTTCTGTTTGCATCATCACTAATGTTTGGGTCTCCATTCAATATCTTTTGGAGCGTTACTGAACAAATAGTAGATATAGTGTTAAGAAAAGAGGCCCTGCTGTCAACATAGCGTTGACATTCAAAGAAAAAGTGGTAATTACTTTCCACTATGCCACACTGACAAAGAGGAGATGGAGAAATATTTTTCTTAAATAGATGCTGATTTAGAGAACTACATTCAGTACGAAGTCGAGCATGATAGATCTGCCATTTTGTATCGCCTTCATAGAAATAAATCAGACAACAAGAGCTGCTTCGTCTCAAATGGGATTTGAAAGAGGACAGTGAACGTAAATTTTGTACTTCAGATGGAAGGGCGTTCCATTTAGTCAGAGCAGTTGGAAGAAAAGCATTTTGATAAAGAGTTGTTCGTGTTCGAATAGTCTGAATATTTGTAGCATTTCGTAGATCGTACCTTGAATTTTCACTTACAGTAGGTGGAAGTAAAGAACACAAGTAATCTGGTGTTAAGCCATTTTTCATTTTATAAAGTAAGATAAGCATATGATTATTTCTTCGAGATTCTAAGGATTCCCAAGGAACTTCACTATGGAGTTGAACTAATGATACAAGTTTTGTAGCACCGCACACAATACGCGACGCTTCATTTTGAATTTTGTCAAGCTCAAGTTTCTCATATTGTGTGCAGTTTAGATAGACAACATCGGCGTATTCCAAAATCGGTCGATCTACGTCAAGCTGAAACTTCAATTTCCTCATTATGTGTATCATCTTCCAGGCTCGTTCGGTAATATAGTTAATGTGACAATGCCACGAGCAATCGTCTGAAAGGTGGAGGCCAAGATGTTTGTGACTGTTGACGGTTGTTTTCTGTTGGTTATGCATAAGAAGTGAAGGATGAAAGGGTTAATTTCTTTTACGAAGATACTAGTAACCATAGATTCAGACTTCGATGGATTGAAAGTAACAAGCCATTTTTCAGCCCAAGCTGATATCTTGTCTATATCAGATTGAAGTGTTTCAGCAGCAGAAGCAGGGTAGTCAACAATAATATGTAAACTGGTATCGTCAGCAAAAAGATTAATTTTAGAGCCTATATCTTCCACGATGTCATTGATGAAAACTAGGAATAGTAGCGGCCCAAGGATGGAGCCTTGGGGTACTCCAGCCTTTACTATCGACCAGTCTGATTGGACCCCAGGTAGGATAACCGCCTGGTGTCTGTTAGTAAGATAGTCAGAAAACCAGTTAAGTAGACAACCGTCTACTCCAGCAGCTTTCAGCTTAAAAAGAAGACCTTTGTGCCAGACTTTATCGAACGCTTTGCTTATATCAAAGAACACAGCTCTAACTTCTAATCCGTCATCTAAAGCTTTACAGAATGTGTTGTACAAGTACGTTAACTGGTTTACCGTTGAGTCACCTGGTCTGAAGCCTGACTGTACGGAAGAAAGGAAGTTATTATCTTGAAGAAAATTAAATAGATACTTAAATATAATACGTTCAAAAACCTTTTCTACGCAGGACAACAATGAAATCGGACGATAGTTATTTGGAACAGATGGATCACCTTTTTTAAAGACAGCACAAACATTGGCCTTTTTCCATGTAAATGGTATTTTACAAGTTTGAAGAGACTGATTGAACAACGAACATAGGGGAAATTTAATAACTGAAGCAGTTTCCCGCAATATACGGTTACTGACTCCATCAGGACCTGAAGCTTTGTTTGTTTTAAGTGACCGCAGAGCGTCTTCAAATTCCTGAGGAGTAATAGAAATAGAACAAAGTATGTTTGTAGGCATATTACAATCATTAAAATGAAGTTCTTTATCAGAATTATTAAGCGACGACTGACTTTAGAAAAAGTCATTTAAGAGGTCAGATTTCAATTTTGAATCAAAAACAAGTTTATCGTTGATTGGGTTTTAAGTGGAGGAATGCTTTGTTTTTCAGTGGGAGAGATAAAGTATTTGATTAGTTTCCACCAGTCCTTCTGTGTAGTAGAGTCTGACTTGAGAGACTCTGCCATTTGTAAGAAGTGGTTATGTTTAGCCGTGCGTATAAGTGTGACGATTTTATTACGGAGTTGTCTGAATTTGTACCAATGGTGCGAGTTCTGTGAGTATTTGGCTCTATGGTAATACTTTTTGCGCTTATGTATTAGTTTCTTTATTTCTGTTGTAATCCACGGAGCATCGTTAGGCTTAACAGTTACTTGCCTCGTTGGAATGAATGATTTAGAAAGTTCTAGGAGTTTGTTAGTAAATGAGGAAGTATAGATATTGATGCCATCTGTTTTGAACTGATTCCATTCGGTGTTACTAATGTTGTTTCGGAGAGAGATATAGTCTCCTTGATCGTAAAGCCATACAAGTCGTTGCAATGAATTGGTTTGTGGTCTCTTGAAAGAGAATAGAGAGTATATAGGGCAGTGAAATCTCTGATTTTGGTCTAGGATCGGCTTTCCAACTCCTGAAGCAATACACATTTACCACCGTAAAGCTTACAACACAGTGATTTTTGCGCGGCCAATGACTAAGCTTATACAGATTATTGGAAAGAGACTGGCACATATGTTTTTT